ACCGAGGAGATGCAGCAGAAAGGACGGGGCTACCAGACTTGAAAGGATTCGAGCAAAACAGGGGGGACTTTTTCTTGACAGATGAACCCGATGGCTGCAGTTTGAGGCCATCCCAAGAATGCAGCATTTTTTTTTATGCCCGCTACTTTATCATGTTTGGAAAAATAAGCAACGTTCTCAGGGTAATTTACCTCCTCCATTCAGCCATGTGGAACTAATTAGCTAAACCTCATTATTTATGAGTCAGGTATTTAATGTAACAAATCTCCCTTTCAAAGGACACATCGGAAATTGATAATTCAAGGTAGAAAGGGAAAATACTGCCCAGTCACAAGAATTCTTAAAATAATAATAATTATATATATATATATTATTTAATCCATTTCGTTTCTCCTCTTGCTGTGCTAAAAAAGCCGGCTGGGTTTTTCTTTTTCTCCCCTTTTTTTGGCATATAAGGGAAGGTAGAATTTAATCTGGAAGGTTAAGATTACAATGGTCTCAAAACAATGGCAACTGGACAATAGCATCACCGTATCTTCAAACAGGACAAAGGGTAAGAAAGCTGCAGACAGATGTAGTCTTTCAAGTTTACGATCCTATTTTTGCAGGGTAAATTTATCTTGGCACGAGTGGGTTTTGTTTCAGGCGGAACACAAGTGGTTTGTTCTTCATTGCTCACCGAGCTCGTGTGCGTTAAAAAAAAAAAGAGAAAAAAAAAAAAAAGGGGGAATAAAAAGAAAACCCCGCACAGTTTTATTGTGATGGGGGGGAATTCAAGCAGAGAACTCGCGGGGTCTTTGGCTGTAAAAAAATTAAATAAAAATAAATAAAAAAAAGAAGCCCCGATAACGATCTGTTTACATGAAATAGAATTAAAGGTGGAGGTGACACCGAAAATCAAAGACACATTGATCTCTCTGCGGGCAAGAGGGAGAGCGGAGTCACCGCGCTGTGAAACGCCTTGGCTTTGATGTCCCGGGGAGAGGGGACTTCTTCGTGAAACCCTCTGTTCTGCGCCTGTATTTTTGACTATCCCGGTCGCGCAGAGCAAAAGTGTAGCTTACATTTCTGGAGACGTGCCAAGAAACTTGTAGCAACGTGAACACTCTGTTCCCACCTCCCTTATTCTTTTTCTTCTTCTTTTTCTTCCCCCCCCCTCCCCCTTTCTTTTTCCTCTTCTTCTCCGTGTTTTGTTTTTTATTATTATTTATTTAATTTTTTCTTTGGGTGTTTTGGGTCTTTTTGTTGTTGGTTTGGTTTGGTTTGGTTTGTTTGTTTGTTTGTTTTTAAGTATCATAATAATCGACCTGCTCTAGCAAAATAGCTGTGGGTGCAATGGGTGCTATTATGACCCGACTGTGTTTCTCCTTGGTTTCTGCTCCCTTCTTCATTTAGGAAATCGAAAGACTGGGTTGTTTTGGGGGTTTTGGTTGTTGTTGTGTTTTTTTTTCATATTATCTAACAAGAATTTGCTCAAATTACCACAGTCGATTTTTGCTTAAATATTCCACACTGAATATTTTTTTTAGGATACAAAGAAAGCAAGAGGGATGAGCCCAGAAATTAACTCAGCTTGCAATAGTGTGTTTCATTCATGGTTGAAAGATCTAGGGCTACCTAGGCAGGAAAATAGACACGGAGCCATTGTGACAGAAACAGAGATTTCAGGTACACGGAGAGGAGTGTTTTCCACGTACTTTGTTCTCAGGGTCATGGATTGAAGTATTTGTGATGCAAAGTGAACTCTCCTGGCATATGAGCAGCACTAATAAAATAAAACCTTATCCCCAGTTGAACAACAAAATAGTTTGGTTGGTTCATCGGCCCTTAGTAGTTTAAAAAATGAAAGAAAAGAGAAAGAAAAAAAAATATTAAAAAAGGAAAGAAAAGAAAAAGAAAAAAAAAAATATTAAAAAAGGAAAGAAAAGAAAAAGAAAAAAAAAAATATTAAAAAAGGAAAGAAAAGAAAAAGAAAAAAAAAAATATTAAAAAAGGAAAGAAAAGAAAAAGAAAAAAAAAAATATTAAAAAAGGAAAGAAAAGAAAAAGAAAAAAAAAAATATTAAAAAAGGAAAGAAAAGAAAAAGAAAAAAAAAAATATTAAAAAAGGAAAGAAAAGAAAAAGAAAAAAAAAAATATTAAAAAAGGAAAGAAAAGAAAAAGAAAAAAAAAAATATTAAAAAAGGAAAGAAAAGAAAAAGAAAAAAAAAAATATTAAAAAAGGAAAGAAAAGAAAAAGAAAAAAAAAAATATTAAAAAAGGAAAGCAAGAAAGGAGAGGGAGCAGAATGCAATAGGTACATTTTTCAACCAGCCACTATCCAAAATGTACCCAATTATAAAAGGCAAAGTGTCACAATCTTTTATTCTGGGTCATTGCGATGGAATTCCTCCAAGGTTTGGGTCTCTCTTCCTGCTGCTGATTTATGTAAAGTGGTGTGAAAGGTGGACCCGGCATGTAGAGCTGCTCAGAGAAATCTTCTCCCTCTCACACCCTCCCAGCCACAGGTCCTTGGTCCAGGCAACAGCCCACGTATAAATCAGGTTGTTTCCCTGGTCTTCAGATCTTTTCCGCCACCAGTTTCCACCCCTCGTCTCCAGAGGGACGGTCACTCCTCTGCAGCACTTTGCTGCCTGTTTTTTTTTGCCTCCAAAGGGGCTTTGCTGTTTGCATGTGGATGAACTGACCCTCCAGGTACAACAATGAGCTTGGTGGGACTCTGTGGGGATCTTGAGGGGATCCTACAGTGACTCGGCAGGAACCCTACGGGGGATCTTATGGGGATCCTGTGTGGATCCTGTGCGAGCCCTGCACTGAATCTGTAGGGTACTATGGGCACCCTGCAGGGACTCTATGGGAACCCTATGGGGATCCTGCAGAAAAGAAGCCTAGCCAAGGCCAAATCCCAGAGATCACCTGGGGGAAAGTGAGTGCAAGCTGTGGGCTGAGGAGAAGGGAGGAGGCTCCCTGAGTTGCAGTGATGTGATGCCTCTAAAACCCATGGGTGCTGTCTTACACCCACAAAGAGGGGAAGCTGCATCCCTGCCACCAGCTCTCAGGAGAAATCTCCTGGCAAATGGTCATCAGCAAAAGGGGCTGAATTTGCAGGCAGGGCCAGATGTGTCTTGATGCTGCTGCCTGGCAGCACTTTCTCCTCCACCTTGTGGGGTGGAACGGGTACAGATCTGGCCCAGAGGGAGAGGCTGGGGGCTTGGCAGGACCATAAAACAGAGAGCAGAGTGGTGGAACCCAGCCCAGGGAAGGGCTGTGGCCCTGAAGCCCTGCAGCTGGTGGGCTGGGAGGTCCCATGGGAAGGGTCCCTCCAGCCCTTGCCTTTTTTGCCTTTTGAAGAGTTCTAATTAAGTGATTGTCTGGTTTGGAACATGAGCTTGAAGCCAGGCACTTCCCCCTGAGCAGAGCAAATGCAACAGAGAGCAGAGTGGTGGAACCCAGCCCAGGGAAGGGCTGTGGCCCTGAAGCCCTGCAGCTGGTGGGCTGGGAGGTCCCATGGGAAGGGTCCCTCCAGCCCTTGCCTTTTTTGCCTTTTGAAGAGTTCTAATTAAGTGATTGTCTGGTTTGGAACATGAGCTTGAAGCCAGGCACTTCCCCCTGAGCAGAGCAAATGCAACTTCAGATTTGTCACCCAAACACAGCATTTTCCCATTTCTTTTTGCAGTACACAAGAGGGCTGT